TCCCCAGCAGCCACTCCCCGGACCACCTGGGGCTGCCTGACGCCACTGGGGGGGGACAGTGGTGACGCCGTCCTTGTCCCCTCCTGTGGGGCCACCTGGGGCTGGGCTGGTGGCACTGGGGCTGGAGGTGGCCGTCGTGCCGCCGGGCTGTGGGAAAGAGGAACGGGGGGGGGGCCCTTTGTCATCTGTGCTGTGAATTGTCACCCCTGAGTCACGGCGGTGACGATGAGGTGGCCGTGCATGGGACAGCGCAGCGAGGGTGGGCGCAGGAACCCGGCACGCGTGGGCTCGGCACCGTGGGGGGGGCTTTGGGGTGCTCGGGGGCAGCACCAAGGCTGTGTCCCCGTGTCCCCAGTGTCCCAGGTGTGTGAGGACGCAGGAGCCATCCCCTGCTCCCCGTGCTGCTCCCCTCGGCACGCCGCTGGCCCGGCGGTGCCTCCCGGGGGCTCTACGCCCTCCTCACACACTTCCTGCCGTCTGTTTCCAATTCCTCCTGGCGGCTGCTCCTCCCCGCTTTCTTTCAATTAAAAAAAAAGAAAAAAAAAAAAAAAAGAAAAAAAGAAATCCCAGGCATCTTCTCGGCCTGCGGCTCCCAGAGGCTCGAGCGCTGCCGTGCCCCTCTCCGGGGGACTGGGGCTGTGTGGGGAGGGGGCAGGGGGTGCCCTCGGTGCCCCTCTTTGTGTCCGTCCCCGAGGCGCAGTGGGATCGCTCGGCGTGCCACCACGGATCCGGCTGCTGTGAGGGTCAGCTTGTGCTTTTTGGGGAGCAGGAGGGGTTTTGGGGGGTTCCACGGTGTAGGGTGGGATGGGGCACTGCTGTCCCCATCCCTGCTGCGATGCAGAGCCCTGGCAGATCCCCGTGGCCAGGCCACGTTTGCTGTCCCAGCTCTGTCCCCAAAGCAGCCACAAAGCGCTTTTGTTCCTTCCAGGAGGGGAAGGGAGACCTGGGTGCGAGCGAGGCCGCAGCACTGGGTGTCCCCACTCGTGGGTCACCGTGGGACAGGGCGAGGGGACGCTGTGGGGCTGCAGTGCTGTGCTCACGTGGCTCGGGGACCGTCCTGCTGCATCCCCCTGCCCCCATCTTTCTCCTGCAGCCCTTCTGCCTCTGCTCTGTGCTCGGGGACTTGGCATTTGGGGACTGAGCAGGATGTGGGGACTCATGGAGGGGTCTGGGGACCCGTCCCCTGTTGTGGCACCGCCCCATATGGAGCAGCAGATGCTTTTCCCCAGGTCACCAAGCCATTTGCAGGCACGGGGTTGCGTTTTGCAGCCTGGCAGGGTGAGGGCTGCTGTCAGGAGCTCCGTGCCCATCGCTGTCCTCGAGGCCTGACCGCGTCCCTCTCTCGTCCCCTAGCAGTGACCCGTCCGTGACACCTCCTGGGAGCCTGGACGCGGAGCAGGAGACGTGAGCACCGTGAGCACGGGCCCGCAGGACGCCTGACATCCCCTCGGCCACCCCGCCGGGACCATGCCCATCCTCAAGCAGCTCGTCTCCAACTCGGCCCACTCCAAGCGGCGCTCGCGGGCCGACCTGACGGCCGAGATGATCAGCGCGCCGCTGGGGGACTTTCGGCACACCATGCACGTGGGCCGGGCCGGGGACGCTTTTGGGGACACCTCCTTCCTCACCAGCAAAGCCGGGGAGCCCGGGCCGGAGGCGGGCGAGGAGCAGGGAGCCTCCAAACCCAGCCTCCTGTCCCGTCGCTTCCGCAGCAGCAAGCGCTCGCAGTCGGTGACGCGGGGTGACCGGCGCGACATGCTGGGCTCGCTGCGGGACTCGGCGCTCTTCGTGAAGAACGCCGTGTCCCTGCCCCAGCTCAACGAGAAGGAGGTGGACAGGAGCGCGGGGCAGCTGCCCAAAAGCCTCTCCTCCAGCCCCGTCAAGAAGCTGCCGGAGGAGATGAGCCCCGAAGAGCAGCAGCGCCTCAACGGGGCGGCCGCCGGGCCGCTCAGCCCCAGCTTGGACGAGCGCGACTTCGGGGACATCACGGAGCTGCCCGTGGTGGTGGCCAAGAGCGGGGCGGGCATGAAGCACGCCGAGTCCATCATGTCCTTCCACATCGACCTGGGGCCCTCCATGCTGGGCGACGTCCTGAGCATCATGGATAAGGAGCAGTGGGAGCAGGACGAAGACCCCGAGGCGGAGGAGAGCCGCGAGGAGGTGGCGGCTGCCCTGCCCGGCTCCCCGGTGGCCTCGCAGAGCCAGAGCCCGTCCCGCAGCGTGTCCCGCGGCCCCAGGGACAGCAGCTCGGCGTCCAGCTGCGCCTCGGGGCCGGAGGAGCGCAGCCCCCTCCCAGGAGCACAGAGCCAGCGGGGCCCCCCGAAGCGCCCCGACAAGGAGTTCTCATTTGCCGACGAAGATGACGACGAGATCAGGGTATAAGGCGGGCGGCCGAGCCAAGGGGTCTGGTTCTCATTTACGGTTGCTTGGACACGGGGACGGAGAACCCGATGCTGGAATTGACGGCACCGGGGGTGGACTGAGCTCCTCGCCCCTTCCCTTTCCCCTCCTGGCGTCCCGGTGCTCGTCTCGGGGTGGCCGTGCGGCGGCAGGACAGCGCTCGCTCCCGGGGCTCCCCGCTGGCTCCCCACCCCCAGGAAAACTCTAGCACGGCCCCGGAGAGGGAAGCAGACTCGATCTTGGTTCTTTCTGTTGGACTTTGGATGCTAGCGCTTTTTCCTCCCCCCACCCCACTATGTAAAGCAATAGGATCAAACAAGACGAGGTTTCGAAGTTGTAGCCCCTCTAGTAATATATGTATATTTTTTTTTTCCTGCCGTACAGTTTTTATTGCTCTCTGATTTGTACCTAACTTTCTTTACTCCTGCTTTTGTTGTTTTGTTGTTTTTTTTTTTTTTTAACGGAGGGGAAATTTCCTGCGGGGAAGGACTTGGCTCTGGAGCTCGGAGCTCTGCACCGTGCGGAGGGCTCCAGGACCGCAGGCAGCTCCAGCTCCCGGGTTTTTTGGGGACTTTGGGCAGTCCGAGAGCCTCCAGCCTTGTGCTGCCGTGGGGGTTCGCTCCCCATCTGTCTGGTGGATGGATCCATCCCAGCATTTTTGTGGCCAGCCACCCTCCACGTTCCCAGTTGTGCTGGGGCCACCGGTGCCTGTCCCCACAGGAGGGGTACCCGGGACCCCCCCGGGCTGGGCTGAGCCCCCGAGCTGGTGGCTGCAGCCTTGGGGTCGGTCTGGCTGCTGCAGGCGGGTGGAAGAGGAGGGTTTTATACCGTGTATGTAAAAATGCAGAGAATAAAAGGAAATTGTAGTGACAGCAGTGGCCTGAGTCCCTGGAGGGGGGTGGTGGTGGTGGGGATGCGTTCGGCACGAGGTTTGGTGCAGGGATGGGGTTTGTTTGTGCCGATGCCACCCCCGGCCCCTGTCCTGCTTTTTCTGTCCTCGCTGCAGCCCTGGCCCCACGGGAACCGTGCCAGCCCAGCCTCCTCTCGGTGCCCGTGGCCGTGCTTTATCTGTGCATCGCAGCGGGGGAAGCGGCGAGCTCCTGCTGCCCGGATCTGGCTGCGGGCTGTGCCCCTCCGGCCAGGCCGGCTCCTGCCAAGGGCTGGCGGTGCCAAGCTGCCTCTCTCCTCCTGCAGCCTGCCCGATTCGAGCCAGGGAAAGCAGGGGAAAGGTGGTGGGAGGGGAAGTTTGCTGCTCCTGCAGACTGCAGGGATCCTCGGTGCCCTGCTCCAAGCCCCGTGGGGTTGCCGCGGTCCTCGCCAGCCCTCCTGTGGGTGGATGGAGGGGTTGAACCCAGCTTTGGGGGTGTCCCCATCCCACAGCAAGGTTTTTGGGGGTGAGCAGGGCTCTGCCAGCACCAGGGCTGCCTTCCCTGCCCGGTCCCACTGGTACAGATGGGGACAGCAGCCCTGGAGCACTTGGGCTCCCCGGGACCTGCCCAAAGGATCGCCCTGCGGGGACAGGCGGGCGCTGCTCTATGGGGACACAATGGGGTCCTGTGCGTGAGCCAGGACCGATACAATGCCCCGTGGCGTGGGACATTGGGCTATTGTCCGGGCTGGGGAGAACAACAGCAGCTGCAGCTGGCCGCTCTGAGCTCACTGGGGTGCCTCTGCCCCGCTCCCCGTGCCTTTGTGGCCCCCCCATCCTGCTCCGTGGTGTTGGGGTCGCTGCGCCCTGCCCTGAGCACCCAAACGAGCCGATGGGTGCTGGTCCCTGCTTGCTGGGGGGTCAGGGGCCGTGCCAGCAAGCGTCTGGCCGGTGGGGATGGAGATGGCACAACCGGGGGGGTGCTGGGGGTGCACGGGGCGAGGTGGTGGCCCCGCCGGCAGCGCTCAGCGGGCGGGCGGTGCTGGTCCAGTGCGTTTATTGCTGGTGACAGAATGGGAGCAGGTCTCCGTCCCCGATGTGTCAGGCCCTGTCGCTCCGGGCGTGTGATGGGGACGGGGACAGGGACGTGCGTGGTGGAGGAGGGCTGGGGTGAGGGGTGATGCTTGGGGTGGGGGGGGCTGCTTGGGGTGCCCCCGGTGCGTGGCCCGGCACCGGGGCCGTGTCCCACACATGCTGCTGCAGCCTGGTCTGTGTGAAAGCCCCCAGGGGGGCTAAAGGGGGTGTGAGGTGTGAGCTGGGTGTCCCCACTGGGAGCCTGGGGACGTGGCTGTGTCCTGATGGCAAAGTAGGGCTGGGGCTGGTGCCATTCAGCATCACCCAGCAACGCTCAGAGCACTTGGGGGGGCAACAAAAAAAAAAAGTAGGGTCCATCCCTTGCTCTTGTGACAGTGTTGAGCTCTGGTTTGGGGCTCCCTGCTGAGCAGGAAGCCCAGGGCGAGGGGTTAGCCCCCCGGGATGAGGGGTTAGACCCCTGGGATGAGGGGTTAGCCCCCATGGTCGGCCCCAGCAGACCCCACTGAGGGCTGGGGGACGCCAGTCAGCTGCTCTCAGCACAGATCGGGGCAGCAGCTGCCAGCATTTACGGGCAATTACGGGCTCGGGGCTGAGCACACCACAGCTGGGCTGCGGCACCAGGCAATCCCAGCTGCAAACTGGGAGCAGCTGCGGGCAGCTTCTGCCTCTAAATGGAGGGCACTGGGCTCCCCCCTGGGCTGGGTTTGCTCTGCTCTGGGGAGGAGGATTAAGAAAAAGGGAGGTTTCTGAGAGCTGTTTGGGTGCTGTGACTGTGCTTCTTTGGGGGGGGCTCTTTTGGGGGGCTCTGGGTGGAGCTGGGGCCATGCAGGAGCTGGTGGCGGGCATGGAGAGGCTGAGGGTTGAGTTGGAGGCTGATGTGGAGCAGCAGGGGGGAGCCCAGCCCCTGCCCTTCCTGGGTACGTGCAGTGAGGTGGGGGACAGGGCCCTGGGGTAGCCTTGGGGGGGGGCTGGCAGGGCTGCAGGAAGGGGAAGGAGACCCCCATCCCTGCTCTGCTGCACCCTTGGGTGCCCCTCAGGTGGCTCCAGCCCTGTGAAGGAGCTGGGGTGCCCTCCTCACCCCAATATCATGGGGGGGCTGATGCTGGAGCCCCCCCTTGCTCTGTCACCTCCCCAGCAGCCATCTCCATGGCCCTATACCCACCATGGGTGGGGGGGGGGGGCGGTTTGGGGCACAAAGGCCTAACTAAACTCAAAGCCCACCACCCTAAAACCCCTTTGGGGAGGGCTGGGGAGGCTCCGGGTGGTCGGTGACCCCCATATCGGTGTTGGGGGGGTACAGGGACGTGGCAGGCGGGCACAGAGCGGGCGGTGGTGTGCAAGCACTGGCTGCGGGGCCTGTGCAAGAAGGGCAATGGCTGCGGCTTCCTGCACGGCTACGACGTGACCAAGAGGCCCGAGTGCTACTTCCACAACAAATTTGGTGAGTGCCAGACCAGGGGTCCCAGGGTTTTAGCCCCCCGTGTCCTTCGGGCCTGGTCTCGAGCTGTCACCCCAATGCCACCCCCTGTCTGTGGGGAGAAGCGCCTCTGCCATTTAGTTGGGGACACGAGCCCCCAGGCCCAACCTGTGTGCCCTACAGCACCTGAATCACCCAAACTGTGATTTTTTTTTGGCTTTTTTTGCTGCATTTGGCTCAGGGGAGCCTTGTCCCACCTTCTGCCCCCCCCCCCCTTGATCCCACAGGTGAGTGCAGCATCAAGGACTGTCCCTTCCTGCATGTTGACACCACGGTGGATAACAGCAGGGCCTGCCCCTGGTACGACCGAGGCTTCTGTAGGAACGGTGAGGGCCCAGATACTGGGACAAACTGGTCTGAGTGGGAGCTGCCCGTGTGCCCTGCTGCTGGGATGGATGGGGCCAGAACTGGGTGAACTGGGAGGGGTGGGCTGGAGGTGGCAGCGGGTGCCCAAGGGGTGGGTGGGCTGTCCTGGGGGGGGGAAGTGGGTGCCCTGGGGGAGATTTGGGTTCAGTGCCTTGTCTCCACTGATGGGGGGCTCTCTCGTGTGTGGCAGGACCCTCGTGCAAGTACAAGCACAGGCGGAGGGTGATGTGTGCCAACTACCTCGTCGGCTTCTGCCCAGAAGGACCCAACTGCAAATTCATGCAGTGAGTACGGCGTGGGGCGGAGGGGGGGCTCCGTGGGGATGGCCCCCTCCCCAAGGCTGTGGTTTTTGTGGTGTTTGGATCAAGGATGAGGATGCACTGAGACATCATCCAAATTAAATGGAGCTCTCTAGGCTCTCCTCGCTTCCAACGTGAGCTGGTGACAGCCCCAGTCTCTTGGGGACACCTGCACCCAGCTCACTGGGACAGCACTGGGAGGCTGTGGGAGGGTTCGGGGGGACCTCTCCCCGTGTCCTGGGGGTAACCGCCTCTCCTTGTGCCCCCCTCCAGCCTCAAGGCCGGGCTGTCGACTCGCAGCGTGGATCCAGCCAAGGTGATGCGGGGGGGTCCCGTGCGGATCCCCCTCGAGCTGAAGCCCCCTCACCCGTGTCCCTGCTCCAGGGCTCTCGTGGGAGCCAGGGAATTGGGGTGTCTGACTGCCTCGTGTCCCCCCAGGGAGCCCAGTGTCCTCGGGGGCTGGCACACGCTGCTGGGGGGGAGAGCAGCCCTGAGGACGTGCTGGCTGCTGGCACCACACAGCACGGGGCAGCGCAGCCCAGGGACAGCAGCAGCGTCCCCCCCCAGCCTGCAGTGGCTGCTGGAGCCAGGCACCTGCTTCAAGGTGGGTGGTTTTGGGGCTGGGAGCCCTGGGTGTGGTGATCCCACACCTCTGGGGGAAGGTGGGTGGCAGCAGGAGGTGTGGGGGCTCCAAAAGGGGCTTGTAGAATTGGGATGTGTTCTTGCTCTGGGCTGTGAGCCTGTCCCCAGAGAGGGGATCCCCTCATCTACAGTGGCTGACAGCAAACCCAGGCAGCTGGGGTTCCAATAATCTGGAATAATCTGGGCTGGAATAATCAAACCCCAAGCAATGCTGGGGAGAAAAAAATTCTTCAAGTGCTTGGCACACAGCAGAATAGCCCTGGAGAGTGGTGACCCTGTCTCTGTAGGGCAGGGCTTTTATACAGTGAGAGGTCTTGGGTTGCTTCTTGCCTACGAGAGCCGTGCCAGCTGAGGCTCCATTAACCCCCTCCCTTGGAAATGCTGGGACCAAAGCACGTGGTAAAGCAGCCTGGAGTTGATCTAGCACAAACTTGAAGGCTGTCTTCTCTCTGTTCCCTCCCCAGTGCAGACAGAAAGGTCACTATGCTGGCAAGTGTAGGAAGAATCAGCTGGAAATCCTGCTGGGAAAATGACTTTGAGTGCTCCTGCAAGGAGAGGGGAAGGAGGACGCGGTACAACACGATGGAGTCAGAGAGACTCCCCCCAGGACAGCTGCTGGACTAGAAAAGCCAGTTGGTTTTGCTCAGCACTCGCTCACAGCTCTGCAGAAGGAGCAAAGGGATCACAGCGTCCTTAATGCAGCTGCAATTGCACCCTTCACCATTCCCCTGGTGGTCACCGCCTGCTCCCTCCTGTGCTGCTGCTGCCTTTGGGAGGGGGCACGAGGAAATTACCAACCCACAGGTTTGAGGGGTGTGGGAACAGCTCATGTCAGAGTCCTGGGCGGAGGAGGGTGTGGGTGTGCTGATCCCCTGTGCTGGGGGGTGAGGAACACCAGGTTTGAGGACACCGGGGGCTGAGCAGGAAAGGAAAACGCACGAAGGCTTTTATTGCTGGGAAGGGGGGTTCTTGGTGAAACACCTCTGACACAACACTGCTGCACCTCACCTGGAATAAAGAGTTCCTATTTTTGTTGCCTTTTTTCTTACCCTTCATGCCTGCAACATGACCAACGCTGCTTTTCCAGACATGTTGGGTGACGGCAGGCTCCAACTAGCACTCTCATAACTGTCCTCGTTTGTCTGATGTCAGTTTGCCCTTTGGGCACGACAGCTAATCCAATGGATTTTCTTCCTCCAGAAATAGGGCACTGCGTTCGCAGTGCTGCTGCTTTAAAGCCTTCCCAGAGCTCCTTCCTGGGGCTGTTTTGGTGTCCAGGCAGTCCCAGGGGTGCTGTGCTGTGCTGGGGCCCCTCTGTGGAGCAGCTCTGCAGGGCCCACCCTTCTCCTGGGGGTGGTAGCAAAGCAAACGCTTTTGGAGGGGGTAAGTAAATGCTGGGCACAGCTCTGCTAACTTCAGGGACTGATTATCCCTCTGTGCCACAATCAATCATATAATTTATTGCCAGATACACTCTAACACGTGTAGATCAATCTATACTAACCGCCTGTGTCAGGAACTGCCCTGTCCCTGCCCTGTCTAGCAAGAGACCCGAGCTGCTGCAAACCACAGGAGCTCTCCTGCACGAAGCTCTGAGGAGCTGCCCTCATGCTCTGTCTCTCAGCACTGACCACTGCCTGACCCGCAGAGCAGTGGCTGCAGGCTGTCAGCGTCGCCCCTCTGCCTGCAGGAGGGCAGCTGGAAAGCGTCCCCCCAGCAGCAAGGATTTACGAGCTGTCTCTGGCAGGAAGGGGCCTCTGCTGGGTTCAATCCCTGGTGGGATGCTGGTCCGGAGAGCTTGTGCTGACTCCATCAAATAGCTGTGATTGTTCCCTGCTTGCTGTCCCAGCTTCTTCAGTGGTACTTACGCCAGCGATTACGCTCTAGCAAAACAGGGGGGGAAGGGAAAAGAGGGAAAAAAAAAAGAAAAAGTGTTAGTGCTGTGCTCGGGGATGGCGTGACACAGTGCTTTGCCCAGCAGGGATGAGCAGGAGCCTGACTGCAGCTGTCTGTGTTTATGGGAGCGAGTCCTGGTGGGGAAACTGCCCAACCAGCACTAAATCCCTCGTGTCATTTCTGAGTAAAGCCAGGGAACTGGCTGTGTCCAGAGCTGGAACATCTCCCTCTGCTCTGTTCAGGTTTAAAGAGCACTCCTGCCTGTTTCTGGCTCTCTCCAGGGAGAAGCTGTAAATCAGTAACTGTTACCACCTCCTTCACTAACTACATTCCTCTGCCTACCTAAGCCAAATTAGAACACGGCTCCCAGAGCTCCGGTATTAACTTTAACTGCGAGGTATTTAAATGACTTCAGAGCTTGAAACAACACGGGTAGCAAACAGGCTTACCACCCGCTGCAAAAGGGGAAGGAGTGAAATAAGACATCAAGAAGGAAATCTTACTGATGTGCTGATAGCTCCAGCCATAGCTGAGGATGCAGTACCCAGCCAGGAGCATGGAGACCCCGGCTGCTCCGCCCTTCCTCACGTTGATGTATTTGTTGCAGTAACCGTTCCACGCTGCTGGGAATAAAAATGCAGGGGTCAAACCACGTAGGGGTCACATAAATTTCACCGGCTTCCATGGAAAGCCAGATGGTTGGATTGATTTATTTCTTTATAGACCGGCCCTCTGGAGCAGCACACTAGCAGATAAATCAGGGGAGGGGGACGATTCTGCCCCACGAGCCGGGGGTTCAGCCTCACCTTTCTGCACCCCTCCGAGCAGCCCCCGGGGCGAGAAGTCCTGGGTGGTCAGCCAGGTGGGCAGCTCCCCCAGCCTGACGTCCAGCAGGCGCCTTTCTGCGAGCGGCTCTGTGATAATGAGAGGGCAGAGCAGTCACGGGGAGGGAAACGAGGGCAACACACGATGTGAGCGTGTTTGCTGACCGGGTGCTGAGGCTGAGCCGTACACCGGGGATTCTCTCCCCCAAAGCGAGCTGGCTCCGCCAACCCAAATATGCAAAAAACAATCTTAAAATGCTGTTTTTTTGGGCCACGATGGTTGCACAGCTTGCTCCTTGGACTCTTCCAGCTCTGAGCCCTGCAGCTCAGCACTCCCCACCCATCTCCTCCTCACGGTGACGGTTTAGCCTAACGGCACAGCGGCAGCACCGGTTACCTTGCCGTCCTGCTGCCAAATCGCCCCTCGGTGCCTTCGGCGGGCCCCCAACTTCTCCCCGCCAAGGCCTCTCCGCAAACACGCCCAGTGCCCGGTAATGGGGAGCCAGCTCTGGGAACCACTCCAAGCCCACGGCCGCTGCCCGTGAGCTCCAACCGGAGCCCCGGGGCTCGGTACCACCCGGCCCCGCTGTGTCCGTGCCGCTTGGCTCCTTTTTAACCGTCCTTTCCCCATCCCCTCCGGGCTCCTCCGCTGGCAGGCGGCGGCTGTCGGAGCACGAAGCAGCCCCGGGGGCTCCGTGCCCCGCTCCCCGCTGCGGGAGGAGCCCCCCGGGGCTCGGTCCGCGGCCGGTTCCGGGCACCGGGGGTGCCTCAGCCGTACTGCAGCCACCGGGGCCGGGAGCTCGGGGCTCGGCGGCCTCCGGGCCTGTGGCTCGCTGCGGGCCGGGGCCCGGTGTGGGCCTCGCCCCGGTACCGGTACCGGGCGGCTCCCGGAGCACCACAGCTCGGTGCTTCTCGATCGCGACTTTCGGCCCCCGGCGCAGTTTGGCGGCGGCGGCCACGGCCTCGTCAGGGCGGAGGTCGAGGCTCCGGGCCAGCTCCGCCTCGGGCCCGGTTATCCCAGTCGCTGCTTCCCCCCGCCGGCCCGGCGCGGCCTTGCAGTGCGGGAGGTGCGAGCGGAGCCTCCGGAAGTTCCTGTGGCAGTACGGGCAGCGCTGCGGCCCGCCCGGCCCTTCCGCCATTCCCGGTAACCGGGCCGCTTTTCCGTCAGGCACCTCCGCGGCCACCCTTAACGGCGGCTCACCGGGGAGGGGGGGGGGGTCCTCGGAGGTGCGCGGCGCGCATGCGCAGTGCCGCCCAGCGGGGGGCAAGGGCGGGGGCGGTGCGGGCGGCGCGCATGCGCAGAGGGGCGGGGAGGCCGGAAGTGGGAGCGGGGCCGGGCGGCGGGGCAGGCACCGGGCGCTGCCCGCCATGAGCTGCCGCCAGCCGCTGCCCAGCGAGCGAGGGGCGAGGCAGAGGTGGGACGGGAAGGGGGATGGGAAGGTCCGGAGGGGGTGAACGGGGGTGAACGGGGGGGTTCCGGGGCTCGCTGAGGCCTGGGTGGGGGCTGGGGCCTGGGTGGGGGCGGCGGGGGCTGGGCCCGGTGTAGGCCGCGGGGGAGGAGGGGGAGGATGAGGGGAAGGGGGGGGGGGGGCGGCCGGGGGGTGAAGGCTGAGCCCGGAGGGTCCTGGGGGTCCTAGGCCCGGTTATGCATAATAATAATATAATAATAATAAAATGATAAAATTATGATAATAATAATAAAAAACGGGTTCTGCCGCCGGGGGATGGCGGCCCCGGGGGTTCTGTGGTGTGAGGCGGGGCTGATGTCACAAGGCCCGGGGGGGTTCTGTGTCCCCTGGGGGTTCTGTGGGGGTTTAGGAGTGAAAGTTGCTCCGGGTGTTGGAAATCGCCGCGATTTGGGGCTGAATGATGCCGAATTGGGACATTTATAACGCTCAAGAAAGTCGTCGCGGGCGTTAATTGTGGATGGGTGTGAAGAAGATGAGTGTAACGGGGTATTTAGTGGAAATGGGGTCACTGTCAGAGGGTGGGCCTGGTCCCCGGGGTTATTTTTAGGTTTGTAGGAAGACTGGGAGCGCTGCAAGGCTGAGAGTTGTCAATTTACGTCATTTATTTAGAAAGATAAATTTAGAAAGATTTAGAAAGGTCGTAATGGCAGGTCCCTGCCCCAGAAGCTGATGTGAAAGCAGCAGCCTGGCTGCTCTGTGAGAGGAGCGATGATTTCCTCTCTTCTCCATCCACAACACCTGCAAAGGGGACATCAGCTCACGCCAGACCAGAGGTTTAAACATAATCCTCGCTAAATTACCAAATTTTCTTGCTTTCACATAGAAATAGAGGCCAAAACGTGTGGTAGACCAGTAGACTGCTAATGTGTTTTTCTTCTGTTTCCCTGATCTTTCCTCAGGAAGAGGAGGCGCAATGGCAACGAAGATGACGGCCACGTGCCCCAGACAAAACGCAACACCAGGAACACCGTCCTCCAGGACTCGTGGGACACTGAGGTGAGAGCCTTCTCGGGCAGGTTTGGGTTCCTTTCACGCTGAATTTACAGAATTTACATAATGGTTGAAATATTCTTTGAAATTGCTTTCAGGGAGAGCAGTTAATGAAAACCCCTTTTTTGCTTTGTGTACGAGGCCAACTCTGTTAGGTATTCAGAGACTGAAATGTGTCAAATGTGGTTTGGAAACTGGCACGTTTTCCACTGAAACTACCCCAGAAAGTTTCTGTTGGCGTATTTCAAATACCCGTGTGTAAATCCCAAATGAAGATACCAAAAAAAAAAATAGAATTTAATTTGAAATGAGGCGCAGCGCATCCAGAACCACGCAGGTGACTGGGGAGGGGGGGTTACAAGTGCCTGTGGTCGCTTTGCCTGGCTGCCTGCCCTTCCCACTCTGCATTTTTAGGAGCGTGTTTATTTGTGGTAGAAAGGCAGAAAGCATTTCAACGGGCGTGATGCACAAAGTGCCCCTTGCAAGCAGTAGTGCTGGTGTGATTTTTTATTTTTGAAATGCTCTGGAAGAGCCTGGCAGCTGACGTGCTCCTTTGCCACTGAAATGCTTGACCTCAGACTCTCTGTTCCTACTCGGATTTGCTCTGATTTCTTTCTGGACGTGGGATAAACTCTCCTGTTATCTCCTCGCTCACATGGCAGGTGTTCTAGGGTGGTGTGACTTGCTAGCATCTGAGCTTGCTTTTTTTTTTAAAAAAAAAGCTGATTTCTAAACTGTCACCAGATTTCCTGAGCCGTTGCCTGTATTAATCATCTGAAAATTCACTCTGTGCATTTCTAATTAGCAACGTAGCTCCGTTGCAAAACCTTCCCGGAGAAGGGCCTGCGGCACGGGGGCCGCCTCCTCGTTTGTGTCTCTGGAAGTTAACAAAATTGCTGTGATTTTTTTAAAAATAGCCTTGTTTTTCGTGCAGCCCTCTCCCTCTGAAGGCTGCAGTGAGTAATTCCACGGCGCTGCCGTTGCGTTGAGCCACCGGCCGTGCTTTGACTGCACCAAACGTGTTGTGTAACCGAGCAACACTTCTTTTATCAGATGGCAACGCCTTCAAACGTACACTTTAAAGGGATACGAGGCTCTGTGTACCCCCCCTGTTCCTTTTTTGAGGGAGGTTTTTACCCAGTGCCCCCTTTACAAGTGGTGCTGTGATGGTGACGCTGTCTGGGAACGCTCTGGCAGCTGCTTGGGGTGATTATCGCAAAGAAAACCCCTGCTGAGAGGTGTTCCTGTTACCTGCATTGCTGTTTTTCCAGCAGTAAGGCTTGCTGGGACGAGGTTCTCTCTGCTCCCTGGGTATAACGGGTAGAGCCGTGGGTAGCTGCCTGCCTCCTGACGCTGCATCACTTGTCCAACAGGTTGCACGCCCCCGGTGTAGAGTAGTTAATGGCTAAAAGCAGCTTTGTGGCGGGGAGGAGGAAGAATTTAGTGTGGAACCAGGGAATGAAGTGGGAGGAATGAAATTAAGACTCTGAGGAAAACCCCTGATGGTGAGTGGCAGAAGCACCTGCGCTTGGTGTGAGCACTTGGACGTTTGACTGGGCAGAGGCTGCTCCCATTTCGGTGTTTTTTAGCAGCTTGTGTTGGCCACGCTGGAGTGGGGCACCTTGTTTCTGTCCTGACCTCCCGTTTGGTTTGGGGTGCTGCAAGCAAACAGCATGGTGTGAGCTGCCCGCCCCGCCACCGACAGCGCAGAGCAGTTCAGCTGCTGCAGCTAACATCAGGACCCCTGCTTCGTGCATGCCCTGGCGCTGGCAAAGTGTGTCTTAACACATTAAACCCCGACGTGCAGGCAAGGAGAACTCCGTGCTCTTGCTGCTGGCGTGGAGGAATGCACCTGCTGGGCGGTTTTACCAAAATCCGCATTCCCTTCCTCGAGGGAACAACATTTGCAGTGTTATCCACTGATGAACAGAGCTTTTTTTTGTATTTTGCTTGTTTTCTTGCTTTGTGGAGCCACTGAACTGAGCATGGCCAGAAATTGGAGCTGTGGGATCCGCCTGGTGTTGTTCCAGTGCTTCTCTGAGGACTTCCTGTGCCGAGCAGAGAAATTCTTGTGCTTACAGTGCTCAAGTGCTTCCGACTGGTGGCACTTTGAAGCTGTTGGCCATTTGTAACCCTTGGATGCAGTTTCCTATTGCTTTGCAACCTACAAAGGGAGCTCTTGCCCGTTAGAAATCCCAACTAGCTGCAGGAGAGAAACCAGGAGAGAGAGAGAGAGTGTTGGGGGAGAGCAACTTGTAACTTCAAAGGATGTGTGCAGGGAGAATTGCTTCCCTCTGAGGGTGCACACACACCTGATTTTTGTTAAACATTGGCTAAAAGTACCCATTCCTTTGCCTCCCTTCAGCTGAAAGTTGACTGTTTTCTTCTTCCAGAGCGTGGTTTACTTGGGAACATAACCTCGGTAGGACAGTCAGGCAGACAGACCACTGAGACTGACCTTGGCTCGTGGCAGGATCTTTTTGTTTTTGTCTCGCTCCTCATAGCCAGCAGCAACGTGTAAGGTGAAGGGAAATGTTTTGTTTTAGTGGCAGTTCCTGTTCAGGTTGTCCCTCAGTCCCTCACTTTCAGCTGTACTGTGCATTTAAGCTAGGCCTGAAGGAACAGGATTTGCAGTTTTCTCCCACTGGATTGTCTTCGTCCAGGGTAGGCGGCCTCTTTGGCCAGCTGACTCTGACAGGAGCGAAGCTGAGATTCTCTTTGATACCAATCAGCACGACTTCTTGGGAAATTGTTGTGCTGACGTGCAATTCCTGCTGCTCCTGGCACAAACCACTCCTAGCTGACAGCCACGGAAACCTCTGCAGTCCAGTCCGTGAACTTCCACACGACTGCAATGGCTGTTAACCATTAGCCAAGCTTTTTTTCATTCCCTGTCAGCTTCTCCATCTCTTCCATTTACCAGGAGGGCAGCTTTCTGGCCCCTGCGGGTACTCACCTGTAAATTTAGTGCAAGCTTTTCCTGCTCCTGTCACCTGCCAGCCTGTCCCAAAGCTGGGCAGAGCTGGGGGCCCTCAGAGGTGCTGCACTGGGGAACCACCAGTGGAAAGGAGCCTGCGGTGTTCTGCTAACTCTTTTTTCCTTCCTGGATAACTTTCCTCTGCAAAACCTCATTTCTTGTGATTCCTCTTCGTTAACCTGCCTGATGGCAGGATTCCTCAGAGCCTCCAAGTGCTGCTCTTCCCCCTGTGGAGGCCGCTGACACAGAGCAGCAGTTTTTGTGTAGCTCTGCAGCTCTGCCTCTCCACAGACATCACCACGGTGAGGAAGGGCTGCTCTAAATTCTGATCAAACCCAGATCATTTCTTTGTTAAACTCATCTCGAGAGCAGCAGGACCTGAGCTGCTTCTTAAGCTCCTGTCATTAGTGATCGAGATGCTACATCACAGCTCAGCAGGTGAATACAATTAAATAGTTTTCCCACAAATGTCCAGGTAAAACTTCTGCAGCTACAGTGCTCAGAGGGGCTGGCGAGTCAGGTAAACCCTGAGAGGCCCTTTTGCTACTTACAGTGCTCATAAACTTTCCCAGGGCTGCTTTCTTTTTCCCTTTTGCTTAAAGCTTTGTTTCATTGTGTAGATGCTTGTCGTTGCTGACATGATGACTTTAAGGCTTCTTTTTTTGTCTAATTGTAGTCCAAATGCGTAACAGAATGTGCACCACAGCCGGGGGAAATGGTAGGTCCATGACGTGGTTTGGGCAATAACTGGGCTTCACGTGCTAGTGAATTTTTGCATTAGAGAAATGGAAATAAAGAGGGTCTGACG